GAAACATTAAATAAATTATAAAAGCTAAGAGAAATGAATCTAAAATATTGTGAGAGCGAATTTATAAACTCATTTAGTACATTTATGAGAGTACTAAACAAACTTCTACTAACTACATGGAACAAGATATGCGACATTTACGTACATAAGAAAGTGTCAATAAATTGCTACGATGAAAGGGGTTGATTGTTGTATTAACAGCCAACTAAAAGAATTGGTCAAAACCTTTACATCATCTACTTCATCTTTGTTTCATTTTCACTTGCCTTCCATAACCCTTTCTTTATTTATTTCTTTGCCTTCTTCGTCTAACCCTAATTAGTATATTATTTTTATGTATTCTAATCACAAGTATGGACGGTTCCATACAAGACTCACCAACAGTCTAGAGAACTAATAATTGAACCATGAACCACTAACTTTTTTAGCTTAATATCTAGTGCAATTAAAAATAAATATGTATGGTTAGTACTTATTAGAAAGTCATCATTTTCACTATGGGATTTGAAGGTGTGAAATTTTAAGCGAGTTCTAGTGTGTGTTCCTTTTGCTTCTCTCTAGAATTTTTCTTTTTCACTCGGACTAGAATGTTTATAATACATGGAATGTTTGGCTAAGTATTTACACATATCAAATAAATAGTTTTCATTTTCTATAAAAAAAATTAAATAATTATCATCTTAAAGAGCAAGTCGGGTTACAAACGAGAAGGCACCAAATAAGACTGCGAGAAAAAGGGACAAAATCGAGTGCTTAGAACGTCCAAGAGAGATAAGTTGATGTGCAACGATGGAAAATGGGTAACCCAGGGACCCCATAATAATAAGACGCTGGCTGCTGCCAGGGCTTGACGTGCTTCAGTCAATAGAAGGAATATAGCTGTGTAGAAAGAGCAAGCGGAAGAGGAGCAGATGCATGAGGTGAATGTGGCGACTGACGTGGGCAACCAGCCCAAACCCCCAGATAACTCAAGGAATCGTAACAGAGGATCAGATATCCTTTCATCCCTGAGTCCCAGTATTCGTTCCCGTAGATAGGGAGACGCAGACAGCACAGCTGCATGCCTCTAACGAGGCCCAACTACGTGATCAGTAATCAAGGGTGTGCTCTTGGCTCCATATACCTTTGTGTTATACATCAGCATAAAAGGAATTAAGCCTCAACTATGCAAATTACAGTTATGTACATTAACTTAATAGATCTATAGATTTATAACCTAATTTATTTTTTGCATAAAGTCCTCAAAATATTGATGGAACATTACATTTAAGCACCTAAAATTTTTGTGTATTACATTGTGCGACCTAAACTTTTGAAGTTCTACAAATAAGTCTAATTTTTGTCTATATATATAGCTAAAACACCCTCGAATAAATGGGTATTCATACCCAACTCATACACATTTAGATTACAGAAGTATATATCCATACCATACCCAAACTCATGTACGAACTCCCAAACCCATATATACGTCACTCATACTCTACCCATAATCAATGGGTCTACTTGGGTATATATAAATATCATTTATTAGCCAAAATTTCCCAAAAAAATAAAAAATTAATTGGATATTGAGCGCCATATATATCTTTTCAGTCAATATCATATTGTTAAGTCAATAATACTAACTAAATTGCTAACAAAAAATTAATTCTAGGCTAATAATACAAATAAAATACCATAACAGGCCACATAATACATGCCCATAGGCCATCTCCGCCCGTGACAAGACGCGGCATCACCACATAATATTTATAAAATTATAATAACTTTGATGGTATTTGCTAAGTTGTTATATAAAAAGTAAACTGAGGAGTGTAGAAAGATTTAAAAAATTGAAAAATGGACATGATTTCCAATTTCACACAACCATCCCGTCGGTGGTATGGGTATGGTTTTATGTGGAGAATTTGTTGCTTTTGGACACCATATTCTCTTCTCTCCTTTTTCTTTGATTTCCCCCTTTTCCTTTTCACTTGTAGAAGTAGTGGCGGCTTTTGCATTTTTGTTATACCTTCCCCCTACTTCAATATAGCAAACTTGGCCATGCTTTTACTTGGAATGTTTCTTTTTAACAAGTCCCAATTAGAGAATCCAGCTGACATGTGTAGGTGATTTTGTACAATGATTAGGCCTTTCTTGGCTGGACGGCTGGCTGCCTGACGCGGTCAGAGGCAAAGTGAAAGAAAGCAGTCAAGCAACTCTTCGATGGCAGCCACAATTGATTCAGCCAGTGTCACTCCGCATATAACTAATTAATGTATGTCTGGCTATGGGTGTCCATACAACTTTATATCCTGGTGATCAACCGCTACAAGTTTTCCTCACATCTATGTATAGGAAAGTTTGTCACCAACTATACACAATTGAACCACGTCAATGATACCGCAACGCCAAGTAACTGTATATACTTTTATTATTTGAACAACATCATCATGTAACGAATTAATACGTGTTTTTTTTAATAGAATCTTCCGGTGATCTTCTAATGTTTTGATTAGAGTGTAAAATTGCATATAAACTCACAAGTGTATATATATTGGTGGCTTTTGCTGTGCACTCACACAAATGAGTATATACTATGCGCCCAATCTTAAAACTAGTCTTAATACATCGAATTTTGAATTTTAATTGATAACATTAATTAATATAATTACATAATATAGGATCATTAACTAATTCATGCATTTTCCCAACCTCTAAATCTAAAACTCTGAATTATATCTTAAATCCGTAAAACCTAAATGCCTCAAATAAGTAAATTATCTTTTGTGTCAATTTATATGTTTTTTTTTAAATCATATCTCAATTACCGCGAACAAATATGAAATAAAGAAAAGCAACATCAATTGTTGATAGGGCAAGGGGAAAAAATGGATTACCAAGGTTATGGATCAAGTTGAGGATGTCCAGGATGCCGACATTTGTCGTGGGCTGGGTGGTGAGATAAGTTGGATGACGATGACCAACTGGCAGATGAGGAGAAGCGAGAATATATAAGAAGAAGATTGAGAGCAGTGGATTCTAGCTTTTTGGATTAGTCAATAGAATAATGCACGCATTAGAGGATAATTAATTAAGAAATACAGGGTAAGGGAGTAATGCAATTATGATTAAGAAGGGGCGACACCAAAAATAGGGGTGCCCTTTGCCTGCGTTGTGATTATTGTTAATGTTAATCTCTAAGAAGTTAATTAGTTGCAGTGCACCCACCGCCATACATAGCGTGGAAAGCGGTACGGTATCGGTATCCCAATACCAAATATCGATATCCCGAATACCGAATTACACCCTAAAGTCAATCCCAATCCCAATCTCTAAATAATTTCGATATCCCAATCAAAATCCCTAAATATTTCGGTATCCCAATCGGTACTTCAGTATCCCAATCGGTATTATCAAATACAAAATTAATTACCTTTGCAATTAATAATTAAATATATAAATTAGATTTTATTGTTTAATTTAGGAGGTAAAAGAATAAGCAAAGAGTCTTGAATTAGGATATTATTAAGGAGAACAGAGGAGACATCTCAAGTTCTTATCATTGATAATCGTTAATTTGATGAATTGGAGGTTGAGAGACGACTATTAATAGTGATGGAATGATATAATGTATAATTAAATGACACTCTTAGTGGTTGAGGGTCGTGTAGTAGTGAATGAGAGAGTCTAGTTAAGAGGATAAAATATACACTAGCTTATATTTCAGTATTGATCGGCATTTCGATATATACCGATCCCAATCTCATAATCCCTAATACCGAGTAACAATTGAAATACAATCCCAATCTCAATCCCAAGAAATAATACATGTATTCGATAATACCAAATATAAACAAATTCGATACGGTATTCAGTATATTACAAATATCGGTACCAAACTTCCATAGACACAAGCACTTCTCTCCAATGTAATGAAAGTAGAGAAAAACAACAAAGAAAAAGCACCCACAAAGACACAGAGCGGGCCTCCCACTCCCACTATTATAAACATATTGCTGGGGGGTTTTGAATTGATTGCATCCACCACCAACCGCATCATTTTAGAACCTTCATTCATGCCAATGCCATGGATGTTATCCTTGAATTCAGAACTGCTGTCTATAGTCAGTTAGTCACCATCTAAGCTAGCTCCCACCATTTCTTCCGTTTCTCGTTCTTTCCCCGGTTAAGATAATCCACGTCCTTTCGATTTTACTAGGGCTACCAAATGAAATTCAGTTTTTTTATTTATCCAAAATCAAATACTTTGTGTCTCCGTATCAGTTTGCACCAAACGTTTCGGCGTTAATTTCAGTCATAAATAGATTAGTTTCGAATTTAAAATGATTTTCGATTTCTTCATACTAAAAATCAAATTCACGCTTTCATTTAAACATTATCCGTAACGGTTTCGATTCAATTACTATTGAGCATAATTTTCGTTCTTACTCTTTATTCTGTTTTGTGGTTAACAATAGTTCACCATACAATTTTACCACTCTAACTGGAGGTGTCTAACACGTGATGGTTGTATTTATTTGATATTTATCTAAAATATTTCAGTCTAATGTTTAAGTTTGTGAAGAAGGCATTGATAAGATGGTTGGAATAATGGAGATGAGAGCTTGTGTTTGCTTTTTTACTAGAAAGTAGAAACTAGTATTAATAGCCACAATACATCGTATTTATATGGTGTAATATCAAAAAATGACTCAAAGTTCAGGGTTATGTCAATTGCATCCCGATGTTTTCAGCTTGATCATCGTGTCTCAATGTTCTGTCTCTGTTAACATTGGCCGATAACAAGTCACTTGTCACATAAGTAATTAAAAATTTCCAAAAAGATAATATAAATTATGAAACTTCGAAGGATTAGCCTGATAATAATGTGAAAATGAAAACATCCATCACACTTTAAATTTGGTTAAATGCACTTGTATATCCAAAACTTTCACGATTGTGCCAATAATATCCAAATTTCCCGAAATACCACTTATATCCAATTCCTTCACATTCTTTAACGGTGTTTTTTAATATACAAGTGTATTTAACCAAAGGCGCGGTCGGCCCAGATGACGAACCCGCCGTTGCCAGGGTAAGCGGTGGAGAGCTCGGCGGTGATGAGAGCCTCCGGGATGCTCCAGATGAAAGGGAAGATGAGGAAGCCGAGGATTGCATAGAGAGGTCTGGCGGCCTGTACGGTCGGTTCCTTGCCGGCGACTTCGAAGTAGATGAGGAAGATGAGAGGGATCAGAGTCAGCTGCTTCTCCTTGATCGTCTTCGTGGTGGTGCTTATGGGAAGCTGCTGCAGCTGCTGCTGTGATGGAGATGAGATCTCATCCATGGCGGTTGACTGGGAGTGAGGTTGATCTTCAGCTCCTGAATTCATCATCGCCATTGGGTGATGGGTTCTGAATTTGGCGGCGGTGGTGGGAGGGCTGTGACGGCGGAGAGAGGGGGAGGAGAGATGGTGATGTCTACTGGAGAGAGAGAGGGAGGATGGAGGAGTTAGGGTTTTTGTTCTTTTTATATGGTAGGGTGAATGATTGGGTGTGGTAAATTTTTACCCTTCCAAAAATATCATTCCTTTAATCTTAACCGTTAATTTAAAAAAAAAAAAAAGAGACAGGAGAGAGAGCGTATCCACGGGCTATGAAGTGGGTTGTGAATCTGACAACCCCCTTAGAGGTTGTCACCGTATCTCGTCCCAAAACTACGCTATACAACGTCTGCATGGTTTGATAATGTTTACTTGTATTTTACCATAATTCGACTTGTCTTTCATTAATCCCAACCCTTCAATCCATCCTCCCCTACTGATTACAAATCAAAATCATCGTCCTTAGCTTAGTCGCTTCTCGAAATGGGAGGAAATCAACAAGCGAGTACGAGCATAACGAATGAGCTCCGTTGCCACTTGCCAATAGTTGGGCCTCATTGCCTTTATGTTGACACCTTTCGACCCTTTGCTAAAATCAAACACAAGCAGTCCCATGTTCATAATTAAATGGTCAAGAACAAGAAGGCCCAATAATATGGCCACATGAGTGCTCGGCCCGGTAGCATGTTCGACATTGGAAAAGGAACCCTTGTGGGCTTCTCCTTTTTATGTTATCTCATCGCCTAATTCCTGTAGATAGCTTTGCCACTGCCAAAATTTCATTTTGCTGATTCTAATGAACATGGATTGTCAGTTTGGTACGTTAGACTCTAAAGGGTAACATTTTTTTTTGCATTAAACGTAACAATTAAATTTACGGATCGGTTTCGAATTTGTTAAAACGATATCATTTTTTTATTTTCTTTCAAGTATGTTAATGTGACAAATATAATCATTAAGATTCTCTCAAAAAACAATCTACAATCTCGTTGAATTGGTAAAAACAATTACTCTCTTTCACTAGTGGTGAAAGTTTTGTCTGTTAGGATTTCTACCAATTCAGCGTGAGGTTTTGAAGTTGTCCTTTTTCACATTCACTTTTGGGAATGAAATTATGTATAAAAGAATTTTCATTGGACAATCCTTTTATTCACACTAGGAGGGCCCGTTGGCCGGGAGAGGGTAGTTGAATAGTTGCATTATTTTAGATATGATATTTGTTCAAGATCCATTTAATATGTGTTATAGAGTAGTTATGCATAAATAAGACTACCCAATTGTCAAATTACCCATAATGTATTGGTATCTTATAAAAAAGGAGAAAAAAAGTCACAAATAATGCAATGAATGATTAATGTGTCAAAACAAACATTATACACTTCTAATCCATATACGTGTGACGGAACCATAAAGTCTGTATGTGTTATGATACAATCCAATTACCAAATCGGTTGTACAAGGGAAGGAAACCCTTGTATATTAGTGTCCACCTAGCTCATTAGTACGAGGCCTTTTGGCGAGGACATCCAAGAGTAAATCCGTGCGAGCTTGGCATAAAGTGGACAATATCGTACTAATTGAGCTCCCCAGTTATAACAAGTGGTATCAGAGTCCCGGGTGGAAATCAGGTTAGGGTTTCGATTATGAAGAATGACATCGGTAAACATGAAGATCGAGAATTTCACGGGGAAGAACAGCTTTGCTATATGGCAGATCAAGATGCAGGCTTTATTGAAACAACAAGAGTTGTGGGGGCCGGTGTCTGCGAAACAGAAGAAGGCAACAGTCGATGACGATGAGTGGAATACCCTAGAGGAGAAGGCGCACTCGACCATCATGTTATAGTTGTCTGATGACGTCATCATTGAAGTCGCTGCTGAGAAGACTGTCACGAGCTTGTGGTTGAAACTAGAGAATTTGTACATAACTAATTCTCTAACCAACAAGTTGCATCTCATGCAACGGTTGTTTAGCTTGAGGATGCAAGGAGGTACGACTTTGAGGGAACATCTGGAGCAACTTAATTCTATTTTGTTCGATTTACGCAATATAGATGTGAAAGTTGATGATGAAGATGCTTCCCTAATCCTGCTTGTGTCTTTACCGAGTTCATATGAGAATTTTGTGGATTCTTTTATTGCTGGCAAAGATAGCTTGTCGTTGGAGGATGTCAGATCTGCTCTTCACACAAGAGAGATCAGACATAGAGCGTCTGGATCTGGTATAGGTGGTGAAGCATCGAGGTTGGCTATCACAGGTGGAAAGGGAAAGAAATAATCTGGTAAAGGGAAACCTAAGGGTCCCAGACCACAGCCAAGCAATGCCTGTCACAACTGTAAGGAAGTGGGGCATTGGAAGTACAACTGTCCCAGGAGAAGAGGGCAACAGAAGAAGGAATGTTCAGTTGTCGTGGCAGAAGTGGACAACACTTCTGAAGACGATCTCGGCTTGGCTGTAGATGAGAAGACACATCGTGGTGATGTGTGGTTTCTGGATACTGCAGCCTCATACCATATGTCTCCGAACAGGGATTGCTTCACAACCTACGAGCAGATAGATGGTGGTAACGTGGTCATGGAAAATGGAGCTGTCTGCAAGGTTGTTGAAATCGGGTCGATAAAGGTTCGGACACATGATGGTTCGTTATGTACCGTGAATGATGTCAGGCATGTTCCACGAATGACAAAGAACCTGATCTCCTTGAGTCTACTCGACAACAAGGGTTTCAGTTTCAAAGGAGAAGGTGGAGTTGTGTATGTATGAGGTTTCGAGGAAGGTACTCAAAGGCTTGAAACGTGGTACCTTGTATGCATTACAAGGAAATGTGTTGTCAGGTTTTGCTGCAGTTGCATCGTCTCAGGTTCATCGGGAAGATATGACCACTCTTTGGCACATGAGACTGGGTCATATGAGTGAACAGGCGATGCAAGTTTTGTCGAAGATGGATCTTCTTTGCGGGCACAAGGTGGAGAATTTGGAATTCTATGAGCATTGTGTGTTTGGGAAGCTACATCGCAGGAAGTTTTCCAAAAAGGGTATCCACTGGACGAAGGGGATACTGGATTACCTCCACTTTGGGGTCCTTCATGAGTTGAATCCATTAGAGGCATCAGGTATTTTCTTTCTATTATTGATGATTATTTGAGATTTACTTGGATTTTCATGATGAAGCAGAAAAGTGATACTTTCACGAAGTTCAAGCAGTGGAAGACATTGGTGAAAAATCAGACCGGAAAGAAGATCAAGAAGCTGCGAACGGACAATGGTCTGGAGTTCTGATGTTCTGAGTTCAACGAATTCTGCAAGGTAAAGGGATTGCCCGTCATCAAACCGTTAGAGATACACCCCAGCAGAATGGCGTTGTAGAAAGGGTGAACCAGACATTGTTGGAGAGAGCACGGTGCATGCTCTCTAATGCTCGACTGGAGAGAAGATTCTGTGTAGAAGCAGTAAACATTGCATGCTTCCTGATCAACCGTGGACCTCACACAAGTATCGAGTGTAAGACTCCTTGTGAAGTGTGGTATGGTATGCCTGTTGATTACTCTTCACTGAAAGTTTTTGGGAGTCCTGTTTATTATCATGTGGATGATGGTAAACTGAACCCAAGGGCAAAGAAGGGTGTATCTGTGGGTTACGGAGATGGAGTTAAGGGATTTCTAGTCTGGTCAACTTCTGAGCATCGAGTTATACTCAGTAGAAATGTGATATTTGATGAGAAGTCTATGTTTAACCTCATGTTGAAGGTTATTGTTGTTGAAGGTAGCAGGAATGTTGATAAGCAGGTGGAGCTTCAAACTCTCAAAGAGAGTGAGTTTGAGCACCAAGGTGAAGAAGAACAAAATAAGGATGTTTCTGCAGAGCCAGAAACTTCAGAGTCCAGTGCACGAGCTCAAAAGTCTATGACTTCCGGTAGACGGAAGAGAGTGAATGCAGGAATACCTCCAGAGAGGTATGGCTTTGAGGATACGGTGACGTATTCATTTCAAGTGGCTGAAGAAGTGGATGTAGGTGAACCAAAGTCCTATAGAGAAGCCATTTCGTGTGGCAAATCTGATTAGTGGCTTGCCGCAATGGGAGATGAGATGGAATCCCATTACAGGAATCAAACTTGGGAGCTAGTCAAACCACCACAGCGAAGGAAGATTGTTACAAACAAGTGGATCTACAAGAAGAAGGAAGGAATCACTTCTGAAGAGGGCATTAAATTTAAAGCTAGGGTGGTTGAACGAGGCTTCTCGCAGAGGGAAGGAGTTGATTACAATGAGATTTTCTCACTAGTGGTTAGACATACTTCGATCAGGGTGCTACTAGCAATAGTGGCACATTATTACTTTGAGCTCGAGCAGCTAGACGTGAAGACAACTTTCCTACATGGAGAGTTGGAGGAAGAAATCTACATGACTCGGCCAGAAGGATTCCAGGTTCCAGGAAAAGAAGACTATGTTTGTAAACTGAAGAAGTCCTTGTATGGACTCAAGCAATCTTTGAAGATCTGCGAGGTCAAAGTCTGATATCCAGAAGTGAAAGGGGCTTCTTAGTGCTGAGTTTGAGATGAAGGATTAGGGAGCTGCTCAGAAGATCTTGGGTATGGAGATTTACAGGGATAGGTCAAAGAAGAATCTTTTCTTATCACAGAAGAGCTACATCCAGAAGATACTGTCGAGGTTTGGCATGTCTTCAGCAAAGCCCTTATATCCTCCTAGTGCTTCAAATGTTCATCTATCCTCAGCTTATGCACCGCAGTCAGAGGCTGCGAAGGAGTACATGTCGAGAGTCCCATATGCTAGTGCAGTAGGTAGCTTGATGTATGTTATGGTATGCGCTAAACCTGATCTTGCACATGTTGTTAGTGTTGTCAACAGGTTCATGATACAACCGGGGAAGGAGCATTGGCAGGCTATGAATAGGATCTTCCGATACCTTAAGGGTACATCTGACGTGGGGATTAGCTTCGGAAGTGATATAGAGTGCTTGGTGTCT